TTTTTTCCCCCCCCCCCCCCCATTCAGGGAACCGTTAGCTATTCTCTGCCTATTATTTTCTGCTACCTCTATCCGTGCATTTTCAAAGTGATTCTCTAGCATCACTGTCTTTAGAATATTTCAAATGGCTAGAAGTTATTCCAGAGTACATCCGTTTGCTTATCAGGATCCGGCCACACTGAGGATTTCAGTCTCTCAATGTGTTTTGAAGTTTCTTATTTCAGAAAGGTTCAAACTTCTATAAACAAATAAACTACCCGGGTGAGGGAAAAACCATTACCTACCAAGAGCAAAAACCAGAAGTGAATCTAAGTCACTCCCCCGATGATTAAAAAAAAAAAAAAATCAGGTATAGGTACCGTAGCTCAAAACTAAGGGGCACAATAACGCTGCTTTAACCAAGAAAGGGAAGCCTCACACTTCTTTGAGGCCAATAAAGACTTAAAATAAACCTCAATTAATAGCTTGCATTTATCACTACAGGATTTTTAAAAAAGGATATACTTTAAATTAAATTACATGGGGGAGCGATAAAAAAGACCCAATAAAAATAAATTGAGTTCTTCTAAATTGGTCATTTCCCTCTTCCATATAATAGAGCTGTCTGACTTTAAATAAATATTTTAATAAAGTACGCTTTGAAATACCAAAACGTTGTTATAAAAACTCCGCACGACAGAACTCTAAAACAATGCACGCTTTGTTTGCTAATAGGTAAATCACAGACTCCCCAGAGAGTTTTCTAATAACATTGTAAACTCTGAGCTAAATCAATTATCTGTTGGTATCTAATATCAGTATTATTAATATACACCACTAGTAATAACCAAGTCGACAGTACACTTTCCTTCCAGTGTAAATGTCGAACTATTTATGAGCTGAATATTTAGTTCGGAGAGGAGAGCAAAGTGAGTTTAGTTCCAAACAGAGAAACTCATGTATATAGAGATGAGTCCAGTAGCATACACACGCCTCATGGAAATTATTCCATCAAAGTCAACATCACACTATAAAACAAATTCTCTTGATTTTTAATGGTCCACTTAGAAGAGGCCCTAAAGAATAAACCATCATCCTTTTGAAGGTCCACAAGTATTAACTCTCAAAAACTATGGCTAAAGAACGTTATGATGTAATCAGAAGGCTCTTCCCTGCTTATAATGGAAGGCTATATAAACGCGTCTCCCGGGACTGTAACTAACAACCCCTTCGTTTCTTTGATGATTGATTCCAGGCCAGGATTTCTGCCGGTTAAAACCTGACCAGGTGGGGACCTGAAAACCTCACTCTGATTCTCCTGATCTGTGGCGGATGGCCCTCGCAGCGTCTTATCACCGGAAGAAAAAAAAATTGAAATGAAGGACGGGAACTTAACAGGTCTTTAAAACCAAACTAAACCAACAGAACAAAAATGGTCAAATCAAGCAAGCCAGCAGCACCCTTCAGCACAAGTACTCACGCAGAATCTACCGGCCAGAAGTTGATCAGAGTAACAGGACTGCAAAACAAAAAATGAGGTGGTGAAGAGAGACACAGGCAAACTCAGCCACAAACAAAGTAAACAAATCAAGAGAAATAAATAAATAAAGACAAAATAAAGTGCCGAGAAGTCAAAAATCAATGAAATTCAGCCAATTAAGTATGAACCGTGAAAAGCAACGGCCAAAACGCAGGTGGAAAGTGAGGTGAAAGAAAAACAAACAACTGTGCGATTGCCATCAGATATGGAAAACACAAGAGAAGGCTGAATACAGGTGGAGGTATCGTCATTTTGATCACGAGAATCATTGCTACTTACTGTGAAGAAATTTCCTGGGACTCTATTTTCTTTCAAGGAGATAAAAGCAACTAAGCACGACCCCACAATCAGATACAAAAAAGACACACGCCTGGCGATTCGTGAGGGCAGAAAACCCCAACGAAAAGGCTGGAATCCCTCCTTTGTAAACCGTCCCAGGAAACCGTCCCACATTTCTTATCAGGGAAGCAGTAGCTGTCACGGAGCTGCTCTCCCTGGGAGATCCAGATTAAGTTTTGGAACAGGTAATGGGCACGGGACAACCGACACGAGAGAATGGCAATTGAACATGAGCTTGTTTTTCTCTTTCCAGCTAAAGTAAAATCTAAAGAAAGAGAGAGGAGAGACCGTTTGCATTTGGGAGCGAAGGAGGGCACTCGGCGGAGAGGAGCTCAAAGAGGCCTTCACCAGTACTCACGTTTCCATGTTGTCCCCCTCTAAGACAGTCTGCACAGGCAGGTAGCCCATTCGGGGATGCTTCGCAAAATACCTTTTGGTTCGAAATTTGTTTTTTAGTACCTTGGCAAAGTCACGAACATCTTCTCCCGACGTAGTCTGAAAGGGAAATTGTGCCGAGATCAGACACACGAGGGAATGAGGTCAAGGTAAAGGGGCCACTGTGGTGTTCTGCCTCGGGGTACTCATTCTGTAACTTAGGAGACCGCAGGGGTCAAGAGCGAAGTCGGTGGACAAAAACCGGGCCGGGCCTAGCATTAACCGGCAGGGTGAACTTGTCCACCTTGTTTACCTCTCGAAGGCTCAGACCGTCTGTAAAATGGGGGTAATAATACCTCACCAAGCTGTCATGATGAAAAAACGAAGTCAAAGGAGCACCTCGTTTCTAAAGTCTTAAAGTTGGGGCGCCTGGGTGGCGCAGTCGGTTAAGCGTCCGACTTCAGCCAGGTCACGATCTCGCGGTCCGGGAGTTCGAGCCCCGCGTCAGGCTCTGGGCTGATGGCTCGGAGCCTGGAGCCTGTTTCCGATTCTGTGTCTCCCTCTCTCTCTGCCCCTCCCCCGTTCATGCTCTGTCTCTCTCTGTCCCAAAAATAAATAAATGTTGAAAAAAAAAAAATTTTAAAGTCTTAAAGTTGACCTCAGGTTTGGCCAAACTTTCTAGTACTTTAAGGAACGATCTGATCCACGCTGACGTCATGTTTCACCCCCGGAATCTCCCTCTCTTTCACAGCATGGCTCACTCTGCATCACTGAATACCTTTGCAAGAGGAATCAAAGTGAGAAAGACACTAGGAACCGGATCATGGCTCTATGATGGAAGACAGGAAAGTTCTAGAACAGAGCTTCTCAAACTTGGATGTGCGCAGCAACTACCTGCAGATCCTGCTACAATGCAGGTTGGATTTAACGAGGCAGGGGCAGGGCCCGAGTTGTTGCATTTCTAACAAGCTCCCGGGTCCGGCGGTGCTGATGAGTCCCAGCAGCTAGTGGTTCAGTAACATCAGACCGACACCCAGATGTGTCTGACCACCCAGTCTATCTCCTTTCCATTTCACCGGTGATTTTTCCAAAGTTCTGTAAGCTACTGAACATTTCCTCAAAACGACATCTGAGGAGAAAGTTCCGTCTCCTAATTCTAGAACACTGGGCAAATTACTTAAGGCCTCAGAGTACTCATCTGTAAAAAGGGGATGATAACAATAATACCTATTTCACAGAGTAGTTTTTTTTTTTTTTTTTTTTTTTTTTTTTTTTTTTTTTTTTTTTTTCCTTTTAGGTAGGTTCCATGCCTAGCGTGGAGGCCAGCACAGGGCCTGAACTCATGACCCTGAGATTAAGACCTGGGCTGAGATCAAGATTCGGACGTTTAACTGGCCGACTTCCAGCTCAGGTCATGATCTCACAGCTCGTGAGTTCGAGCCCCGCGTCGGGCTCTGTGCTGACAGCTCAGAGCCCCGAGCCTGCTTCGGATTCGGTGTCTCCTCCTCTCTCTGCCCCTTCCCTGCTCACACTCTGTCTCTCTCTCTCTCTCAAAAATAAACAAACACTAAAAACAAAAACAAAAACCAAAAAGGCAAATGCCTAGCATTAGTTAAGCAAGACTGGCCAAAAGCAGCGGATTCTAAATTCGAAGGAACCCACATCACCCCCTCCCCCCACACCCCCCAGCATAAAACGTCTCCACACAACCGCTACGGTGGTGACAAAATACAGCTGAGAACGTCTTCTCGACAACCACCAAACAGAGATGAAAAATCTCTTCGTTCATCCTATGCTATTTGTGGAGTAACTCCGAGGCTTCGTTCTGTGCCAGGCACTGCCCTATGCGCTAGGGATAAAGTAAATCTGGAGCCCCTTTAGCGGGGGGACCGTCTCGGGAACTTCTAAATCACAGCTGTACACACCCCGTGCAACACGGTGCAAAAGTGCAACTCCTCCGAGGTGAGCTAAGTGTCCCGCCAGGGAGGCATCTGACTTACCGGAGTGCAGTATTCCACCATGGGATAGTGCATTTTATGGCCTTTTGCAACTCGACCAGAAAAAAAGCAACTTTGGCAGATGTCATAGTTAAAGTGCTTCAGACTCCTGTACCTGGTTAAAACAAAAACAAAAACACACCCTTAGGCGTTTCTTCACGTCGAATGCCCAAAGAACACTCTTTACTATACCTTCCACACGCTCCTATTTCTGCAAACAGAATGCAGTGTTCATTAATCCCACAGGTAAGCGATTAACTTCCTGCATTCACGGTTCTCTGGTGCTTCTCCCACAGTATCAAAACATTTTGGCAGGAAGATTATCCCATAAACATATGGAAGGAGGGAAGATGATTTCAGCTCTTATTTAAACTCCACTAGGAACCCTTTCAGATCAAGTAGGAAGACCAAACACAAGAATTTGGAAGAACTTCCAGGAGAAAGACACGGACGCGCTGCAGGCCCCCTACCCGTTCTGGGGACAAACGTTTCCTGAAGCAATTATTTTCCAAACAACGTATCAAGATAAAAAGCAATCTCCGCAAATAAAGGAAAAGTACACGAGAACCCTCGTTTAAAATTCATCTCGCCTCAAGCACGTTTTCGGAACGACCGACACGATTCACCTCCAGGGAGTCGCGTGGCTGATCTCTTTCAGGTGCCTCTCTCCAGAAAACCCCGCCTCTCACCCACGCCTAAGGGAAGCCCCAAGGAAAGACAAAATCGGGGTGGACAAAAGAATCTGTCCTCTGTAAGGTGCCGGGGGGCGCACACCCCCATTCTCGGTATACGGTACTGTTTCCTATTCCCCCTGCCTTTTGCTTTCTTAGAGAAGAACCCTAGCCAATTCAAATAAACACACTGCTTCTGCCACATACGGGCAGGTGGCGGGAGAGCTACCTTTTTTAGATCCCAACCATCTTTGGAGAGGAGGAGGATAAGAAACAAGTGCCGAGTCCCCCCAAATGATCTCCTTTGATAAGGGTCAAAGAATTAAACGCAAACCCCCTCTTCGGCCCTCCAGAGCCCTCCCCTTTTCTACTTTATGAGCCCTCCCCCGTCCATAAATCTCGCCAGCTAGGGAAGGTGAGGAAAGCGAGGTAGGAAGCGTAACGCCGTCCCCTGGGGCTCGCCCTCCACGTCCCCCATGGCACCGTTCTTACCTGCCAGAAACCAGGAAGGCAAACCGTTCCTTTGTGAGCACTGCCTACTCACTGTTGTCTACCTAGGCTTTAGAAACCTCTGAGGGTTTGTGTAAAACCTCTCTGTCAACACCATGAAGCATGGAAGGACAAACACCAGGGGTAAAAGAGTAGTGAATAAAAGAAAGCACACAAATGGTACAAAGTAGTTATTAGGAAACAAAGAAATAAAACAAGTCTAAGCATAACTAGAAAAAGAGTATTTACATAGCTGTTAGGGAGATTCTGAACGGGCAGAGACTATGTGGCTAGTTTACAACTTTATGGCTTATTCATCGCTATGGAAACCTTGAGGTTGATCCAGATGTTTAAATACATCATCATTTCAAAATGTGGGCTCGGGATTATCGTTGAGTCAGATTAATTCGCTTAAAAATAGCCCATCTCCCCAAACAGGTCAACAAGGCTGAGGATTTAAGAGCCAGTGGTTTTCCGTGACATTTTCCAAAGATCAGAATAATAACCTGCTATGTTTCCTATCTCTTTCACTTGTAAACTCATAAAGAACCTTTTCATTTTTTTTTTAGCCGCTTTGTGAAATTTTCATTGACTTGCATGCTTTATATTCCCTCAGAAGTTCATTAGGATACATGCAAAGAGCATAATCAGATTCACAGGTAAAGAAGCGCTGGGCTGCTTGAAACAATTCGTTACTCGAGGGAAGAAAAGAAGAATAAGCAGCTGAGCTACCATGACAGGTCTCCCCACACAGAATCATCTCTGAGTTTTGTAACGGATTCTTAGAGAGTTTCTATAAACAGGAAAAAAAAAAAAAAAAAACAACACATGAAAACACCCCCAGAGAGACGGTTAACATTTTCTGGATCCAGGAAGGAGGCGGCACAGTTAATGCGCATACCCTCGACAGACAAGTATCTCAGGGGAGGCGGGCCATCAGTCAGTCGTGTTCCACCAAGGATGCGGCTCCGCGGAGCTCCACAATGAAGGTGGAAAGGGACACCTGCCCGATGAGTCAGAGCCACCAAAATAGCCCAGCCATCGGGGCAGTCCACAGTTCGGAAAGGGAACGAACTCAGAGCAAGTAGCACAGGAGATACAAGATCAAGTCCCAAAAGGTGACAACCACGCGGGAGGACGTGCCATAGTGGGGGTCCCAGATACCTGAATCCGATGATCGGACACTCCTTGCAGATGTTGCACTTGGCCTGGTGCTTGGCAGTTTCCGCAGCAGCCACTCGGTGCAGGACAGGCAGCCACACCATGGACTGGGGCTCCAGTCTCATCCAGTCTAGGAAGAGGGCCGCTTCGATCTCAGGCTTATTATTAGCCTGTGTGGACAGGAGGAAGGGCGAAGGGGGTGGGGGTGGGGGGGAGAGCGCAGGGCAAGAAGAGAAAGGACAGGGGGCATATGTCAGTACGGGCCCGAAATTAAGCAAAAGGCACAACGGGGGCCTGACGAGGCTCACTCTTCACAGCCCCTTTCTGCAAACGTCCCCCCAACACCCACAGGAGCCACCTGTCCCCCGAGGCTTCGGTAAACTGCCATTCCCGTGTGTGGCTGCTAGATGACGAGACAGCAGAGGAAACCAAACACGCGGAGGAAGGAGAGCAACACACACACCTGAGCCTCGACACCC